AATGAACAGCAGCAATAGCAGCAACAAGCAGCAGCAGCAGCAGCAGCCAGCATTAGACCACAGACTGAGCGGCGCAGGGTGGAGTCGAAGGGGGCGAGAGTGACTAAGGCGTGCCCTGTAGAAGGATAGACCTTTACATGCGGGGCAATTCATAAACACTTCCACCATGGAGCGCAATGACGCTGTCTTTTCCTCTTTCTAGGCCAAGTCAAAGTCCAGCAAAGTCTACAATGACACAAGAACCCAGGTGCCATGCGCGTACGAGTCAATTGCGTTACACACCGACAAGTAGTCTCTTAGCTTACAAGTACGGAAAGGGCGCTATAGCTTATTCACCCTTATGTGGCGCTCGGTTGGTCTGTGAAAGCTAGACCACACGATATCTGAATCCAAAAGTTGAGCGACTCTTCACACAAGGCTCAAAACTGAATAAACGATCATGCGTCACAAAAAATCGAAAACTTGAACTCCGCACTAGCTGCATCGAATTAAAACACCTCGCAAAATGCAAGGAGCAGCAGGCTCGAGAAAAGATCTTCACAGTAGTCGTATCGGCCGCAAAAGAAAAATTACACCAGCATAGACCCAGATAGCTAGGCAGAATCCCACGACCTGTTGAATCCCACGACCTGTTGACATGCGACTGGCTGGAACAAGAATGTACGCAGCCTGCACAGCCAGCCACAATCAGCAGACACCAGCGCCGGTGCGCTTTGCCAGCTGACAACACCGGCAGCGGCGGCAGCACCCGACCATCGCCGCCGTCCATCTTAAACGCGCGCTCAGCCAGCTCACAGCACCAGCACCCAGGACCACAACACCAGCACCAGTACCGACACCCTGTCGAAAGCGCGCGCAGCCAGCTCCTTCTTATTTGCAGCAAGAACCCCATAGCTATCCCTATTTGGGGAATAACAGCCTACGATCTTGCGCGTATAAGTTTATGCGCGCAAAAGTATGCGCGCAAACAGCAAAGCCTGTAAGTGTCATTGGCCCAAGGCCAAGCAGGATCCAGCGCCAAAATTGACTTTGTAGCATGCTTGAAGCAACGATCTGCAGAACGATAAGGCCGTATGATCTTGCGCGTGCAAGATTATGCGCAAAAAAGTACGCGCACAAACAGCAAAGCCCGTAGGCTTCGCTCGCCCAAGGCCAAGCAGTATCCAGCACGACTAGTGCGTGTGTAGCATGCTGAAACACGCTGAAACAATGGTCGGTTGAGAGCCTGACGTTGCGCATAGAACATTATACGTACAAAAGTGCGCGCGCAAACAGTACAGCTCTTGACACGCTGTCGCAAAACAGAACCTGCAGAGTGTAAATACCCCACAGCGCTAAAAAACAAAGAACGCTCAAGCGACAACACCGTATGATTGCGCGCGCATAAGTTCATGCGGCCCATGACTGCTGGCACTTCATTCAGAAGCGGCGCTTGGTCGCCCTTCACTGCTGCAAGCAGCGGTTTGTTACCCTTCACTGTCAGAAGCAGCCTGTCTCCACCAAACCTGTCTCGAAAGCGCGCTCAGGCAGCTCATTTTTTGGAAGTAAGAACCCCATAGCTTCGCTACCTAGGAAAAAGATCCGAAAATAGACCCCCCTCACACATGCAAGCTACACCACCAACACCGGCGCCGGCACCTAGCAACCTGTCTCCACCACGTGCACAGCCAGCTCACAGCACGAGCACCGGCACCCGGCACCCATCACCAGCACCGGCACCGGCACCAGCAACCTGTATCCACCGCATGCGCAGCCAGCTCACA